ATCAAATTTATTACTAATTCCATTATACGTAAATCTAGAAATAATCCCTATATCAAGAATGAACAGAAAGTCCATAATACGTTCTCGTCCACTAAATTCTCCCAAAAGAAAAAAAAAAGGAACATGCCTACTGGAAGCTATTCCGAAATCTGAGCGTGTTTTAGGCCCGTAAATAATCAAGTCTGAATAACTGGAAAGATACTTGGCACCTGAGTTCTTTTCTGGTACTTTGTGATCTTCCTTTTGCGATCGATTAGAACTACACTCGTGATCTCTTTCTTGTTTCTGTCAATTTTCTGTCACGTGATGTATGTGTGTGTGTGTGTGTGTGTGTGTGTGTGTGTGTGTGTGTGTGTGTGTGTGTGTGTGTGTGTGTGTGTGTGTGTGTTGTGTGCGTGTGTGTGTGTTTCACCCGTTCACATATGGCATCCACTTCGCCCTTGTGTTGTTTATTGCCAAAATGAACTTTTATCGAACCAACGTGTTTCTGGATTAAATATACGTTCGTTAAGAGATATTCACCCGCGGAAAAAAATCCCCTGAAAATGTGTTAACATGCGACGCAAAAAAAAAAAAGAATGAAAAAATGATCTCGTTCTTTATATCCACGAAAAGAATAAAATGTGTTAGTGTAAAACCTGAACATTAAAATATATATATGTATTAATAGAAAATTAAGAAATCATAGCAAAGCGAAGTTTACCCCTCCCCCCACACAAAAAAAGTGGTGTTAGCATGAGACCTGGGCATTAAAAAAATATATATAATAGAAAATATAAAAATCACCATAACAGAGGGGAGTTTAGCCCCCCTCCCTAAAAAGATTATTTATGTGAGACCTTTAAAAAAAAATGACAAAAGAAAATTAAGAAATCTCCGTAAAAAAAAAAAAAAAAAAAAAAAAAAAACGGAAATGTGTTATTGAGAGACGAACGGATCTTATTATGAAATGACTTGCCTTTTTTCTGATGACTCTGCGACCTTCAAATGTCCGTTGGTTCATGTCTTGGCCGCAATATGTTATCAAATGACGAATCATGAATAAAAAAATAAATGCTGATGTGTTGACTGAAAAGGTTAAAATCAGCCGTGTCTTATCTACAAATGCACCCACGTGCACATATATACACACATGCATATACATCTACATACATACGCACAAGTATATGCCAACATTGATACACGCGAATAATACATACACAGATACACACAGATACATGCATAGACAAACATACAAACATACACACATAAGGATTACGAGTGTTGACGCATTAACTTTTACACACGCAACCACGTAGAATTATAATCAGTTTTCGGACAAAGACTCCTGACATACAGGAAACGGTTTCTGCACCTTGTACGCGACATTAATTTTAAATATACTTTCCTACAGTATCTCGACATATTAAAAAAAAAAAGCGCAGATACACCAACATAGTATTGGAGGATACACACATGAACATATACATACACATGCATAACCACACACACACACACACACACATGCACACACGCACGCACACGCACACACACACACAAACACACGTACGCCCCACCCAAAAAAAAAGAACACAAAAGTGCATTAGACATCAACACCCCTGCAACAACTGCACACTTATGCAACATTCGCGAAGACTCACCGTGTCACAAAACCATACGTTCAGCACAGAAGATGTTGCTCGTCCGACGTCCCGGGAGAGACTGATCGTTAGTCGTGGCTGGAGGCTTTTCCCGGCAGGCGCTTAGCTGTTCTCTATGCACGACGTCGTCTTTTGATCTTTGCTTGCTTGTTTCTCCTGTTCTCTGTGGTTGATTAGCTTGCTTGCGCTCCCTTTCGGTTGGTTGTTTCGTTTGCTTAAATGTTTGGTGGTGGTTTTTTGGTGTTTTGTTTTTCTTTCGTTGTTTTCGTTGTCTGTGAGTGTCCTTTCTCGCTTGTGAATTATGGTGTGTATCATTACTAGTGCCTGTGTAGAAAGTCCATATAAGTACTTACATGTACAGACTTTGCCTGCGTACGCCTTTGTTTCTGTGCGTGCGTGTGTGTGTGTGTGTGTGTGTGTGTGTGTGTGTATGCGTGCGTGTCTGTGCGTGTGTGCGTGCGCGTTTATATATGTGTGTGTGTTCACCTCTAGGCCTGCCAAACACATGCTCAACCCAAGCAGCCTTGTATCCAAAGCTAGAGCAATCACTTTAGAGAAACACGAACATCAGTGAATTCCAATGTCATTTATTTTCAGCGCTTCCTGTCCCAGCATTCCTTCTCTTTGTTTTCTGCTGTTCTCTTTTGTTATTTCTTTAAATATTCATGTTTCAGGAAAGGCCCAAATATCCTTTTTACCGAAGGAAACTTGACAATGGAGAGATAAAGAGAGGTTTTGAAAAAGATGATGTCAGAGTTATCTATTGTCTACATAGACAGTTTGTCATTTTCCGGTCTCCTTTCAGCATTTTAATTTCTTTTCCTAAAGTATTTTCCGTATTATTTACCTCATTTCTGTTT